CCTTTTGAGTGACACTTGCATTATGTGAACCCAAACTAATGTTTTCCTTAATTGAAGTGTCGAAGAGCACCGGTTCCTGACCGACGACACCGATCTGTTCCCTAAGCCATCCCAGATTCAAGTCTTTGATATCGTGTCCGTCTATGAAAACGCCTCCCGATATGGGGTCATAAAATCGCTGAATGAGTTGAATTAGTGTAGATTTTCCACAACCTAAGACATTTTATACGTACATGTTTAGTACAAGTTTGTGTCACAATTATAATAATACTGCTATACTATTGTCAATTCTGTAGACTGTTTTAAGATACATAAATTTATATTTTATAACTAACAAATTATTTGTCTTATTTAGTTTGCATATGGTAATTTAATTGTAATTGAATTAATGTAATTTAAATCGGTTTCAGACCTGAAGGGCCGACGAGAGCCACTGTTTCTCCAGCGTTTATTTTCAAGTTAAAAGTCTCTAAAATGTTCACTTCCGGACGCATTGGGTAACTAAAGTGAATGTCTTTAAATTCGATGTCAGCGCTAAAAGTTTGTGGTGTTTTCCCGCTTTTGGATGAGATATCAATTTTTGGCTTTCTTTCAATTATATCGAAGATAACAGCAGCTGTTCCTCGAGCCATATTAATGGCCTCAAAGTGTGGGGCAGCTGCTCCTGTATAGCGGTTCAGTATTTGTATAAAAGTCAAATTATAAAGTTTTTTACATTCATTATCAAATCGTTAAACATAATACTGTTAAACCTTGGATCTTAGACCTGGTCGGGACCGGGAAAATGACTCTAAGATAGAAGGATTCTAAGATAGCAAAATCTAGCATAGACGAACAAAAATGGCTGATATTCTAAGATAGAAGGAAAAATCTATAATAGAAGGGTAAAAATCGCTGAAATTCTAAGTTAGAAGGATAAATCTAAGATAAGAGGGAAAAATTGTCTGAAATTCTAAGATTAAAGGAAAGATTTCAGATGAAAAATACAAATAAATGACGTTATTTTTGTCAATTTTGGTAACTCTAAGATAAGAGGCACATACGAACCTATTGGGTCCCAGACAATGACTCTAAAGTCTAAGATAGAAGGTCTAAGATGTGAGGGAATTTAACATTAGGCTTCTATGGAGTGAATCGGGACCAAGAGTTTGACTCTAAGATAGGCAAAAATCTAAGATCGAAGGATCTAAGTTACAAAGTTTAACAGTATGTGAATATATTGATTATAACTGTTTACCAATATTGTAGCCGGCACTTAATACGGACCAAAATATAATAACAATCTTTCCAATGGTATACTCGTCTGAGTGCTCTTCCATTGAGCCGATGGTCAATTTGACGCCAAACCAAATGCCTAAAGCCATCCCGAAATATAGGGTCGAGTAAAGGACTCCATTTCCTAATCCTGTGATAAAATTCCGTTTGATTCCACTTCTCATCGCTGGCACCAAATTCTTCTCATATCTGTTCACTTCTTTTGCTTCTCCGCCAAACGCATAGACAGTTCTGACCGCAGAAATCACTTCTTCGGCCACATTGCCGGCCGAAGCGTATGACTCCATCTCTTTGCGGGCAAACGATGCCTGAACCTAATGATTGGGTTTTGGTTAAACTATTATTTGACAATTCACACAATTGCTGTAATGATTTGCATACTTTATTCATGATTGCGGTGGCGATGGCAGTGAAAGGAGAGATCGCTAACACAACAAGCGTTAGTTTCCAGCCGTAAATAAAGGCGAGTATTAGGTTTAGACAGACGGCTACTATTGAATATATTGCGAGACCTAACTTCTCGTTGAGGCCGTCTTCAACGCGCTTCAAATCACTAAAATTGAAACCATTTTATTACAAAACAATTAATTAACTAACAAATGAGTAGTGAAATCATACGCTGAGACTCTTGAAGCGAAATCGCCCGAAGATTTTGAATCAAACCACGAGATCTCTTGTTTGAGAACGGACTCAAAGTATTTAATCTTAATGGTATGGATTTGATTCAAAGCGGCCAATGGAAAGAATGTGGTCATTAAATAATTGGATAAAGTGATGACAACCCAACCGATGAACAATATAATACTTAGATTGTATACTTCGCCCATAAATTCCTCACTGGTTATGATATCAATGTCTTCAATGCCATTTAATGTGGCATTTCTTCCCTTTTCATAATTAACAAACACATCGACAATGGATCCAAACAAAGCGTTGAGTATAGGCCACGACATACTGGCGAGTATAGATCCGATGACACCGATTCCCATAAATACTTTGTCCTCCCGTTTGGCATATTTGAACTGAAAGTATATAATGTCTTAAACTGTATGTTATTTTTTAATGTAAAGTATAAACTCACTAATTGAAGGAAAGAAACGGCCCGTACTTTTGGTTCATCGTTTGTATTCTCCTCCAAATCTTTACCTTTTTTGCTAAATTATAATTTGTAATTAATTCATTGAAATTGGTAATTTAAATAATGAATATAATTTCTTATTATAGAGAAAATGTTACCTCTCTGTCATATTCAGATCTAATTTTATAAACTATTATAATTTACAAGTTATTCAAAAATAAAAGAGAAAATAATAAAAATGAAAGTTAGATATTTCTATAATTATTACTGTTAGCTTGTTTGCGCTTCATTTTATAGACTTTTATAAAACAATTTATGTTTATGTTTATGATAATAATTCGAATTTACAATTTCGATTAAATATTTATCATAAGTCATAAAATTACTGTTAAAAATAATCCACAAGTTTGAGAGAACAAAGAGTTTGTTTTTAATTCTAAAAATACATTAATTTCCAATTATTAAACATTTTTATGGTGTTCTCTGTTCTCGTGTATATCTTTCGTGTGCTATTCATTGCTTGTCATAAAGAAGTTATGTTTATATTCTTGGGTTTGGACTTTGAATGCAATTATACTGTATATCGGAGAAAATCATAAATATTATAACAATAACCAATACCTGTAACCTATTTATATGTTATAATTTTTCATTACTGTATAATAATATTTTAAATGTTCAATTGTCTAAATGAAATAATTGAATTGAAATAAATGATAAATGAAATGAAAGCATTTACAAGTTTATTTTGTGGTAAAATTAAAATTTTAATTAGGAAAATTTTGGGTATTCAAAAACAGATGACTGGATTTAGAATTTTTAATGTTATTTATTTAAATAAAATTAAAAATGTTTTTGATTTGTAAGTAAGTAAAAGATAATCTTTTAGTTATTGTTTTCATAGACGTTAATTTAAAAAAAATTCGTTAAATTAAAATTAAAACTTTTATAAGCACAATGATACTAATTATCACATTGTTTGAATTTATACGTATTATTAAAATTTCTCAATTTAGTTATTTTTATCTCTTTGATATAGAGTACAGTATATAACATCTAGAACTAATAAATAAGACAATATAAACTATTGTATATTTTCACTAATTATAATTGCACTACATTATACATGTATGATATATTATATGATATATTTCATTGTATGATATATTTTATAAATCAATTATATTATATAAAATCAGAGACTAGTTTATGTAAAACAACGTAAATAAATAATATAAACTACAATATTTTATGTTAGATAATAAATCAACTGAAATATTGCAGGTACTTTGTATGCAATTTATACTATAAAATAGTTTTTCCATTTCTAACGTTTTAGAATCGTCATAGAAAACTCAAAATCACGTATTATTACTTAATAATAATATGATCGTAAAATTATCAACATAAAACGAAACATCAACGTTAGTAATCAAAAAAAGAAATTTATTTATAATTTTTAATTTGTTGTCATTCAACCTTTCAATAATAATATTTTTATTCTTTAAACGTAATATTCCTGTACAGTATTACCGATGGATTATGTATTTTAAAAATGCAAATTATTGGAGAATTGTTGAATATGGTCTGTCTGTAAATTATTTTTTATTTTGTGACAAATTTACCATATTAATAATGATGGAATATTAGGGCAATTCTACAATATACTTAATATACTTTACAATAAAATATATTTGATATTTAATATATAATTTAAATTCAATTAATAAAATAATTGAAAAACAATTATTGTTTTTTAAATGTGTTGAGACAAATCCAGGATATTTCATATCATGTTGTTTTAATATTTATATTTTCTTTTTAAATTAGTCCACACTAGTGTTTAAAATTGATAATAAAAAACAATTGTTACACTATTAAAATTAATTACTTTAATAATATATTTAATGTAATTCCTCCTAGATCCTTTTATGTAAGCAATAGTGCCATTTATCATTTGAACACATAAATCATATTCACATTTTGTCATTAAATCTACAGTAAATTAGAGCTATTCTAATGTGATTTTAAAATGTAAATAATTGTAAGAACAACAATAAAATTGTTTTTGCAATATTTATTTTAATAATATCAAAAACAGATTAAAATAAGCTTAAAATATTACAGTTAGTATTAATTACTTAATTTATATTGTCAAATTATTTAGTTATTATTCACTGACAGTCGGTTTATTCAAAATACCTTTATAAAAGTGAAATGCTTAAAAATGTTAATTAATTATGTTGATAAAATGTCAAAATATGAAAGTTTTCCACAACTGAAAGTTTGAGTAAACAAATTGTGATAGTGTCTAAAAAGTGCATAACTGGCACGTGAAATAACACATTAAAAGCAGGTAAACTGTGTCCACAACGAAATCATAAACATGAGTACAAGTTGTGATCAGTTGTGTCTTTGAGCGCAAAACATGTTTTAGAGGACAAACTAAGTGCACAATTCTGTCTGTCATTTACGAGACATGCATTTAATAGTTTTTTGCACTATTTTGACGTAATGTGTTTAAAAAAGTTGCAATATTTACTTGTATTAAGTAATCAAGTAATACATAACATAAGCAAATGTGACTGAAAATATTTATAAAAATTTATTGTTTTGTTTTTAAGAAATTTTAATCCGCTTTAAAGTGGTTTTGGGATGACGTCTGAACACACTATAACTTTTTAATGAATTCAATCTCTAATGTGTTTTCAGTAC